ACGAACATAAACGAATACTGAACACGAACACAACCATTTCTTAAAGAAATGAACACGAACACAAATAATTTTGTTCGTTTACTATTCATGTTCGTTTGTTTGTTCAGTTAAGTTAAACGAACAAATACGAACAAACCTCTATTCATTTTCGCTCGGTTCGTTTACAGACATACTTTCAAATGACACTTTTTAAACCATATAATACGAAGATATCAAACAAGACATAAAAACACGTACACGAGTATATTTTGTGTGTGTATATATATGAGGTGAAATACATACATACATGTATACATATATATATATACATACATACATATATAACTCGGTATATAAATAAATGAAATGGAGCAAGCACGAGAGATCCATGGGCATCTTTGTTTCTTACAGCTTTGATCTCTTGCAATTATGGCTACCCATATTAAATTACCAAAAGCACCCTCACTTTTATATTGAGGCCACCATTGAAAGGAGGTCCTTTTTCACCTTTTCACAGTCACGATAAGGGTAGCTTTGACCATCCTCAAACGGTGGAAATTCATTATTACCAAATATTATTTTACTTAATTCTCACTAATTGCTGATTTTACATGTAACTAGAAGGTTATTCGTGCAATACAACAAAATATATCTTGATTTTAGTGTTTCGTTTTATTTCATCTATGTAGATATTTTAATACGGTTTTTATGTGGTTTTGAGAAAAGAAAAATGTTTTTGTTTTTGAATAAAATATAAATTTGAAGAAATCCTAAAATTTCAAAAATAAATATATCAATATTAGTATCAAATTAACTATTTAAAAGTTCTTGTTTTTTTGTGTAATTTCTTTCATTCAATTTTTTTTATTATAATTTAATTTAGATTTAGTAATGAAATAATTTATTTTTGATTTAATAATATAATTTTTTATAAAGATAATGATTAAGTATTTTGTTAGAACTTAATAATTATCTTAATTATATTTTAGATTTTTTTATATTTAAAATAAAATATTTATCTTGTATTTGACTATGTTTATATGCAGTTAGTTACAAAAATTCAAACATGAATATTTAATAAGTTGTAATTACCCATAGTTTATTTATAATCTTGAATTTTAAGTAATATGCACCAATAAACAGTATTTCATGCATAAAAAATAGTTTTTAAGAGTTTTTGTCAAATGCTTTATAATATAATATATATTTGCTTCTAAATCATTATCCTTACTATATTCTAATATTTCCCCTTCTTTTTTATTAATAATCATATACCTCATCTACAATAAAATTACAAAACTTATGAATTACTGTCATTCTAATTAATCAGTATCTTTTAATGATCGTTAACGTTTGTATAAATAAATAAAAATACAGACTTACAGAAAACACAAAGATAGAAAAACCGTACCTTTTGCATGACAAAAGGGGTTTTATTATTTTAATTATTTAGACAAAATATTTATTTGTATTATACATATATTTTATAAAAACGGTATAAAATAACGATAATATCTGATAAATTATGATATGTTTAGATTTTTTTTAAACTTTCCCATTACTAAAATAATTAATATATGATTATCAAACATTAAACACCTTCTAATTAAAACCGAAAATTAATTAAATTAAAATAAAATAAATAGAAAAAGGACATTAAAACCAAATAAAACATGGTGGTGTGAGATTAAAAGTATAATAATAGTAGCACATGTTAGCAACTTAAAGCCTCAAATACTTGGAAATATTTTTTGGGTTCCTCCCATGTACCAAAAGTAGCACCTTGGTCTTACATATACCAAAAAAAAGCCATTATTACATCAAACATTATGTTATAATAGTAATAATACTTAATTTTTATCACAAAGGTGGTGCCAGATTGGTTTGAGCTTGGCTCCAAAAATCAAAAGTATCTGGAGATCTCAAGTTCAAATCCAAGGAGAAATAAAATTCCTTTGTGGTCACAAAGGTTCAAATGTGGTTACTCCGGGCTATCTGCAAAGCAGGTGATCACCCTGAGATTAGTCGGCTCGCATAACGGGTTGAATATCCAGGTTAATCCAAAAATAATACTTAATTTTAATACAAAATAACAACCGTTTAAAAAATTCGACACATGTCTGTCAATTAAGAACGCTGTAACGATCATCAGGTCATTAGCGTATAAAGGTAAAAAGTTTTAAATCATAATATATAATGATAATACAGATTTATGATCATAAATTCGTAATAATGTTCAGGAATTTGGTTGCTAATAACCATGTTTTATTATTCAATTTAAAAAATTATTTGATTATTTATTGAATTTCTAATTTTATTGGATAAGGATTTTGTGGACCCACCAATGTAATTATAGGGACTAACTAATTTTAATGAGAAATATTATGATGTTTTTTGGAAAGAAAAAAAGCCAAAAAGAAAAAGATTTGGGACATTGATGACGAAATTTTTACGATACATGTCCGGGCTATTTGCAAAGCCAATGGTCGTCTACGATTAGTCGGCTTGTATAATGGGTTGAATATCCAGGTTAATAATTTTTTTTACAATACAACTGAAATAGAAATGATTAGTATCAAGGTATCTCTAATAGTTATGTTAAAATATAATTTTTGGAAATTTAATAACTTTATATTAAATATATTTTAAGATAAATAAAAAATAGAGATATAATGAAA